AGATGTGCTATGTAGAAAAGTTATTATTTGCTAATTTGCTGCTTTTAAAATACACGGCACACTATCTATTATGTATCATGCATTACAATTACAACAACAGTTTAATTAATCACCAGCACCCTGTTTTGTACCAATCTACAGCAGAATTCTGGGTAATGGTGTTGTTTACCATTTAGCAAGCAGCAACATTTCACTCTGTTTCACTACATTAAACTGCTCAAATAAAGCAAACGGATATTGAAAAGAGTTGGCCATCTGCCTTTATTTTCTTTTACTTTTGTTGAAAAAAAAAAAAAACTCTTGAAAGAGAAAGAACACAGCCATGAAACTGATAGTGACAAAAAGCACTCTTTTTTTAAAAAAATCAGGTCAGAATCTCATCTCAATGCACTTCTGATGAATAGTTTAAAAAATAAAAAAGAAACCCGCTTTGTGGATTTGGAGTGGGTCTCAAGACCAGCCGTGAAGCCTAATGATTATTTAACGGTGCCGCACTTGAGGCTGGATTCTCCAAGTCTCCTTCCCCCCCCACCACCCCCCACCCTTAAGAGTTTGATGAATAGGTCTTGTGACAGCCATTTAGGAATAAACAAGAATTCATCAGTCTGCATAAGAAGAAGCCAGTTTATAGATTAAGTTTCCTGAGGTAATTCATGAGGTCAGTCCCATTTAGATGGAGACTATTAGGGCCTGGCTCTCAGGAGTGGCCATACGGGGGAGTCAGTCCAATGGACCCTGCTCACACAAAGCCCCCTTTCAGGGAGAAGCCTGCCATTTTTATGACCCTGCTGCTAGGACGCACATCAGCTTGTCACTGTGCAGATCTGCTAGGGCGAGACCTCATCACTCTATTAAAGAGCTCTGTGACCCTATTGATTTGAAGTATTTAAAGCAGGGGTGAAGTTCAAAGCAATTTCTTTTCTATTCTATTACTCAGCCTCTCTGTGCCTTGGCTTTAAAACATCTGCTGTCAGTTCCTTTCTGTTGTCTGATTCTGGAATCTGTCACTGGAGAACAGAGTAGTTTTATTTAAAATAAATTGGATTCCTTTTCAGTTTTCAGCATTTCGCATTGTGATCAATGGTTTATGCTCCTTCATCTGCCGGGAGACTTAACGGCAAGTGTATCCTTTTATGTCTTTTTAGGGCAAGACTGAAGCAGCATTAGCCTCTGAGGCTTTATAATAGAATCAAATCTTAGAAGTAGGTAGCAGCTACCAGCTCATCTAATTGGCCAATCAACAAAAATAACAACCTTTCATTAAAAAAAAAAAAAAAAAAACAGCAAGAAGGAAACAGAAGGGGAAAAAAATGCATCTCCAACTGTGGCTCCAGGACCCAAATGCTAACACTATCTTTTTTACTTTTGTTTGCTCCAAGAAATGAAAACAAAGTAAACTGCTCAGTTATTTTTAAATGTCAGCAGGTAAGGCGAAACTGGGAGTCAGTTTTGAAAGGTGTTTTGCAGAACAATGCAGGCTGCCGTACTTGTTCTGTGAAACAGCAGGAACCAGAGTACATTTTGAATAGTTAATAACACATTAGACATTGTGCATGTGTTTCTGAAGTCATGGTGAGAAACTGGTAGCCTTTTACTGGCCTTACTGGGAGACTGCTCTAGCTTTTCGAATGAGTCTGTCCTTAGCCTGTGTGATCAGGAAATTTGTTTGAACTGCCAAACCTGAGTTTAATTTTTTTAACCTAAAAAATTAAAGAAAATACTACTTTCAATAATCATTGTAAACTCATGAGCGAAGGACAGTATACAAAATTTCAGGATTGGTGTTTGGTTTAACATTATTATCAACAAATCCAAAAAAGGTACTTAACTTCTTGGTACTTCGTGGATAGACCAGGGGTATCCAATGACAATAGAAACACAAAGAGCTTCTAGGAATCTCTCTTAAATGCAACTTCTATTATTCCTGGGTCTCAGCGTGGACGGTTATTTCTCTAGCAGGAAATATTCTCACAGAGTCAGCTCTCACCTCCCTTCAGATGACTCCCAATTTTTCATGTCCATCCTGGACAGCTTCCCTGGCTCTGGTCAGAGCTGGAGTCAAGTGTCCAGGCCTGTGGGCTGACCTCCCCTCCCCGCCAATGCAACCTGTTTAAATTTGGAACTTTACTTGATATATGGCCTAGAGTCTTCTTTTCAAACTCAGCTTTCTGTTTCCTAAATGGTGCTTAATGTCTTCTTGGTCACAAATCTTTTCCCCAAACCCTATCAGATGCCCAGTTCTGTAGAATCTGCCACTGGAAAGTCTCTGACCCCACACCTTCTCCAAAGTCTTATGATACGAATCATCTCCACATGGATCTTTGGTATATTTCACTGTCAGTTGCTTCCAGATTGGGTCATCTGACTTTCACCTATTTTTTTACTCCAAATGAATTCTCTGAAACCAAATTTTAACAAAGACACTGTACTATCGTTCTACAGAATCCAGGAAATAAAATCCAATTTCTTTAGCCTGATGTTTAGGAACCTTGTGATTCCAATCCTCCCTCTCTTTTGCCCAGGCTATGCTTCAGTCTAACAAAGCCATTGGCCATTCCGCTCTTCAAGCCTTCTCTCTACGCACTCACTCCAAGGGAGCTCTCCTACTAGAAGGCTTCGGGGAGCAACCCCATGCTAAAGACTTCCAGCACCAGTACCACATTTCTTCAGGAGGTCCAGCCCTGTCTGTGGATCCAACTGCTAGTGGAATCTCCTCTCAGATGTGCCCCGGGCAATTAAAAAGCAACAAAGCTCAAAGTTATCTCATCATCTACTCTCTCAGTTCACGAAAGTGAAAGTGAAGTCGCTCAGTCGTGTCCGACTCTTTGTGACCCCATGGACTGTAGCCCACCAGGTTCCTCCGTCCACGGAATTTTTCCAGACAAGAATACTGGAGTGGGTTGCCATTTCCTTCTCCAGGAAATCTTCCCGACCCAGGGATTGAACCCAGGTCTCCCGCATTGTAGCCAGACGCTTTACTCTCTGAGCCACCAGGGAAGTCTCAGTTCATGGCCTCTCCATAAACAGAAAGACTGTTCAACAAGTTGCTTGTGTCAAGAATTTCTCTCCACCTCCCCTTTAACAGCAAGTTAGTTGCTGACTCCTCCTCATCTGGTGTCTTCACACCTCTTATCTTCACTGCCTCCGCTCTGGTTTGGCGTCCTCTCCAGTTCAACTCTGAAACATACTAAGCCAGGACTCGGTTGTCTTGCTTCCCCAGGGAGAATTGAGACCCCATTATACATTGCACATACCAATCTTATTTCACATTATCAGGGTTTTGCATGTATTTGTAGGAACCACTGCATAAAGAGACCTTAAAAATGATTTCTCCGTGGGACTTCCCTGGTGGTCCAGTGGTTAAGAATCTGCATTCCAATGCAGGGGGCATAGGTTTGATCCCTGGTTGGGGAACTAAGATCCCAAGTGCCATAACTATTGAGCCCACATGCTCCAGAGCCCACATCCCACAATTAAGACCTGACACGGCCAAATAAATGAATAAATATAACAATCAATCCTGATAGGAAGAAGCAGAGCTAAGTTTTCTCTTTCCTGGCTTAAGTTTGCAGAATTAATGCCCAGTTAATTAGCATAAGCATACCAATGAATATTGATAATGTTTACCTCCAGATTAAACCCATTTTTAGTTTTAATACAATTTACTATAAGTGGTAATATGTTTAGGCATATAGAAAAATAGTTTGTTTTCATTCTAGCCTTTCTTCTTTGCAAACATGCTAATGTCATATCTGTGGAATGTAATGACAAATATGAAAACTGCATCATTTATTCTATGCTTTAAGCTAGCTGTACCTCACATGATGCAATGTGTTGAATACTTGTCAATCAGAACATAGTGCAAGCTTTTTTTCTTTAGGAACTTTAAATGTGTATCCTTCCTTTCTAGCTCTTTTATTTGTTTTTGGTCTTTTCCCAGCACAAAAATTGTGGTACCACAGCTTTGAGATCAACAGTAAGAACACTAGTTCAGGTCTCCCTGAAAATTGTGAATAGTGATAGCACAAAAGATTTGAAGGAGATAATAGTTTCTGTTTAGATCCTCTGAGGAAGTAAGTAATAAATCATATTCAACAGTATTTCTTATACCTTTAATTTGGAAGAGGAAAGGGTGAGAAGCTTGTGGTTGTCAATCGAAGCAGAACACTATTACAAGCATCATCTTCATTATGCAGTGCTGAATATGTTGGAATTTATGGCATGTGTTCATAGAGTGCATTTCAGAAAGAAACTAAAATTAGTGAACCAATTGTGTTCCATTCAAAGAAAAGTAAGATGAAAAAAAATCTATCTACAAAGAACCAATGATTTCATATTCAAGTACTTTTCCTTAAAAAAAGTCTAAATGTCAAGTCTGCCCAACTTCAAAGCCACTTTCTTTGCTAATCTAATATTTTTACTTCCAAAAGTAGGGGGAAATGATCTTTATTTTTCTCAAACAGTTATTTGGATCTTAGAGTAGGCAGAGGAAACCTTAAATAAAAATATGAATCTGTCTTTTTATTTTCTGCATGTGTACACATACTAAGACACTGAAGCAAAATCAGAGAATAGAGCCTTTCCCTTCTCAAAAGATGAAGGACATGATAAACAAGGTAAAAGAAAGATGTAGTTTTTGATAAATCTCCTATATATATCAGATTCTTAATTCTGTGATTGTGTATGCTGATCTTTCACTAAAATCTATATATTTTTCCATAGGAAATTGTTTTCAGGAGGCTCATTTTACGCCAATGCATCAGATCCATAATCCTAAATATTGAGTGCCTTTGTTATCACCAGAAAGACAGTAGCTAAGATATTGAACAAAATCATAAATGAAAATATTTTTTTCATTTCTGAGAATAAATGATTTAAATATTTATAAATTTAGTCTGGGGTTTTCTTTAAAATTGTTAGCGAATCACCAAGAAAGGAAAATATCATCCATTGTCTTTTTAGAAATAGTATCACTGACTCTGACAGGCATGTTTACTTACTATCTGTTTATGTCTGTAGGTACCCGGCTGCGCTGGGTCTCCGTCGCTGAGTGGTGAAGAGCCGGAACCACCCTCTGGCTATGCTGCACAAGCTTCTCATCGCTGTGGCCTCTCCGGCTGTGGAGCTGGCGCTCTCCGCACGTGGGTTTCAGGACTGGCATCGCGCAGGCTCGGTAGCCGGAGCTCAGGGACACTGGGACGCAGGCTCAGTAGCTGTGGCGCACACGTTTAACTGCCCCACGGGCATATGGAATCTTCCCAGACCAGGGATCAAACCCGTGTCACCTGCATTGGCAGGCGGATTCCTAACCACTCAACCACCAGGGAAGTCCTTCATCCATTGTGTTTTTCCACCAGTACAATTCAAATTTCTCCTTCTTTGGGTGTTTTTTCTCTCTTGTTTTTCCTTCTCTTCTTGAAAAGTATCAGAGAACCAATATGAACAAACAATTCAGAAATTAAAAAGCATCCCTCCATTTATATTTTATTTCAAGATGCTATTGCTTTATTATCTACCTTGATTATAAACCATTTATGGAAAAATAGAAATAGCTCAGTATATACAAATTAAACTTTTATCTAAATGTTTAGCACATCTCTATGAAAGTCATTCAGTTGTGTCTGACTCTTTGCGACCCCATGAACTATACAGTCCATGGAATTCTCCAGGCCAGAATACTGGAGTGGGTAGCTTTTCCCTTCTCGAAGGGATCTTCCAAACCCAAGGATTACACCTATATCTCCTGCATTGTAGGCAGATTCTTTACCAGCTGAGCCACAAGAGAAACCCAAGAATACTGGATTGGGTAGCCTATCCCTTCTCCCGCAGCTCTTCCCAGGGTCTCCTGTATTGCAGGCAGATTCTTTATCAACTGAACTAATAGGGAAGCCCTCTATCTTTATGCTATTAATGTGATTATGTTTCAGATTATGTGGAAAAAGCTGGGGAAAATGATAAAATCCAGTCCCTATATTCAATGAGCTTAGTGGACAGACAAAAAGATAATTCATAAATTTAATACATAAATTTGATCAATTCTTCTATTATTGGTATATGTTAAGCAACATATAAACATGCACCTTTTTTCGAGGAATAATGATTATGTAAATCAGCTGATTGCATTTATTAGGAATTACTTTTGGATGCATGCCTATAATGTCTTAGTCAAATGGGGATTTATTTTAACATGAGAAGGCTGGTGATGATATTCCTTGATATCATCAGTGTTCCAGCATCCTTTTACATTTCTGCTATGTCATCTTTACCATGTGACTTTCATCTCTGAGTCCATCTTATAGTTATAAAGATGCCATTCCACCTCCAAGTTCACACACATGTTCCAGATTATAAGAAGATTATAAGAAGAGAGCCCCAAGAAGAGCAGGGAAGGCTTTATTAAGAAAGCAAAGCTCTCACAGAAATCCCCAGAAAACCTTTGCTCTGTTTCATTGGTTAGAACCATATTGCATGGCTGTCCCTGATTGCAAGCTTATCTTGAAGATACAGCTTCTAAGCTAGAAGTACTGCTGCCCTAAACAAAATCAGGGCTTTATTCATAAGAAAGAATACGAATATGGATATTGGTTAAATAGTTTAGAAGTGTCCACCATGTCCCAACTTTGACATTCCTGTATATTTATAATCCCAGTGCATTGGGTCGATCCAGTTAAGAAGGACCCTGCTCTGGACCTAGGAATTTGAAGAACCTGCTCTGGTTCCCCAGTGCCAAGGAAGGGGAGTTTACTGGATCCAGGGGAGGTATCTCATGGAAGTTGTGTTCCCACCCCTGCCAGATCATGCCTTGATGCTTAGGCCAAGGAATTACCTGCCCAAATGACTTCTGGCCACTCTTCCATGGCCTGGGTGGGCCTTGTCCTTGGGTCAGTGCTTCTGAAGTCTGAATTCACCATCGGTGTAAATGCCCCTACAACTAAGAGTGGCCAAGAGACAACAAAGGGTGTGATCTAAGCTTGAATATGTAGCTGGGTGTTCACAAGGATGTATGCAACCATCCTCGCAGGGCAGGAAGGCCAAGGTGGGGGGAAAGGGGTGGGGGGCACGATGTAGGATGAGACTAAATTGACCCACTACTTTGAAACATGAACATTGAGGAGCCTAAGAATTCTAAATTCAAGCCTGGTTTTCCAGGCATTGTGAAAATATATTTATCAAAGTTACAGGACAAGACATATTTTATCAAAACATTAAATAAACTGATCTGGAACTTATATTTAGATGTATGATATGTGGGTCTCCATTTGTACTCTTATCTTTAGCCACACACATGTTGGGATGTGACGGACAGGGCCAAAAGTTCCTGGATTTTGAGAGAATGAGTTCTTATCTCTAAACTGGCATTAGTTTAGCATACCTCCACATTTTGAGAAGGTAGATGTTGATATAGTTGACTGTGGTCCAGACATACCCTAAAAATGTTTAGTCAAATAATAAAACCAATAGCCCCACCTCTCTTGATTGATACTTTGTTAAATCTTGCTAAATGTGCATATTGACTGGATATATTCAGTTGCCAGTAACTAATACATCATGAGAAGGAGCTTGGCTCCCTTAAGTTAGTTAATTCAGCCTAGCACACAGAATGGTTCAATGTGACTCATCCAATTAAAACAGAAACTAATAATCCAAGGTATGATTATGATACTTATTTAAGTTTATTATAATGTTTGTAAGAATAATTCTTCTTATCATCATAGAAAGTTCCATCTTGAACACCTAAATTTCATTTAATCAGCAAGTATTTCATAGTCCTCCACTATATGCTAGGAACAATTCTAGATCCTTAGGATATAGTTGTGAAAAGGACAGACAAAGTGTATCAAGAACAGTTGGTGCCTTATATTTATATAGTCATCTCTCAGTTAATGTTAATAATTCAGAAATTTCTGAAATTTAGAGCTTGTCCATGGTATGGATAAGAAAGAGCCTATTTCTCATTATTTTAAATAGGAAAAATTACAATGCATTTTATTGTGGCCCAAATCCCCAAACCAGCTTTCCATATTCACTAAAAAATAATAAAACACATATAAAGATATAAAAATTACCAAATTAGAATACAAGATACTGAAAACACCACTTCATCATTAAGCAATAATACAGTTGTTAATAAACAATTCCTTTACAAGCAATAAATAACTCCTTTTAGAAGCACCAAGAATGTGGGAAACACAGAATACACCCCCTTGGCTGACATGATGTACATTGCAAAAGTCAACAGATGACTCTGCTCCCCGTCAGTACCAAGCCAGTTATTTCAGCACAAATAAGAAGACTGAATAAAATACCTGAAACAACAATTTTCAGAAACATTAGATAACAGGCAATGCAGGACCGTAATCCCTGAAAGAAAGGAAAAAATAAGATGAGACCATGGGCTTTCCAGGCTTCCTAGGTTGGGCTAGTGGTAGAGAAACTGCAGTCCCTGGGTTGGGAAGATCCCCTGGAGTAGGGCATGGCCACCCAGTCCAGCATCCTTGCCTGGAGAATCCCAGGGTCAGAGGAGCCTGGCAGGCTACAGTCCATGGGGTCGCAAAGAGTCAGACACGACTGAGCACGTGCACACACACACACACACACACACACACACACACACACACATCCCTGTGTGGAGGCACTCTCTGAGCCACTGTGCATAAAAAGGAGAAGCCCAAACATCTCACCAAGGGCAGAAGTTTCACTGAGATGAGGGCTCAGACAGCTGAGTCTCTGGAAGCTAAGACAGCTAAAACTTAGGGACAGAGAAATGAAGAGGAAGGAATTTCACAAAGAAAGAGTTCCAGAGATCTGCACAAGTTTCCATTCGAATCTTTGGCTAAATATCCACCCTCCACCTAGACCTGGTAAGACTCCAGGAAGCCAAGCACAGGCAGTAAACAACTGTTGGAGAAACAGCTGCTGCTGCTGCTGCTAAGTCGCTTCAGTCATGTCCAACTCTGTGCGACCCCCTAGACGGCAGCCCACCAGGCTCCCCCGTCCCTGGGATTCTCCAGGCAAGAACACTGGAGTGGGTTGCCATTTCCTTCTCCAGTGCATGAAAGTGAAAAGTGAAAGTGAAGTTGCTCAGTCGTGTCTGACTCTTTGAGACCCTGTGGGCTGTGGCCTACCAGGCTCCTCCATCCATGGGATTTTCCAGGCAAGAATATTGGAGTGGGTTGCCATTTTCTTCTCCAGGAGATCTTCCCAACCCGTGGATTGAACCTGGGTCTCCTACACTGTAGGCAGATGCATTACCATCTGAGTCAGCAGGGAAGTCAGCTGGGTAACTCCCTGCTAGACCACAAAAATGAAAGATGATTGTGCTCTGGGTAGCCAGAGTGGAACCATCACATTGGTCACCTAGGGCATTCAGTACTATTTCTATGTACTATTAATGAGCAATTTAAAATAATTGTTACCGTTTAGATTAAGTATTGTCATCAGGCTCATCTCTTTCATCAGGAATTAAAATTCTTCCCGAAATGTACGAGATTTCTCTTAGCATTTCAGAATTGTGTGTCACATATTTCTTAGATCAGAAGCCGCACTTACCTTGAGATCAAAGGATCTTTTTCAAAGACATCTTCTTTCTTAAATATATAATGTAGTCACATTACAAATAATTTGTAAATTAGACAAATAATGCCAAAGTACAGAAAACTTGGGTCATATCTGCAAGAAAAAAAGGAGGGGGAAGGATTTTTTATCAGTTTCTGTCAGAATGTCACCATTTTGATGTCCATGTTACACCTGTATAGAAATATGTTTTAATTTGTTTAATCACTATCTCCAAAATCGTTAAACACACAGCTTGTTTCCCCACACAATAGTTAACGCTGTGACCACTCTTTTCCAATAGAATGCTTTGTGATGTGGGAAATGCTTCCTCTCTTTACTGTCCCGGTAGCCACTGATTACATCGTGAGTCCTTGAAATGTGGCTAGTGCAACTGAGAGAAGGGGTTTTTTTCTTGTATTTAATTTTAAGAAATTTAAATAGTCACAGGGCTAGTATCTGCCATATTGGGCAGCACAGCTGTAGAAAATGCCTATTGCAAAGAATATACTTTTGAGGAAGCTGCTATGTAACAATAACATGGTTACATGAAAATCAAGTTCAAAGTGGTTAAGTGACTTACTCCAAATAAACACAAAGTGAGAAAAG